CCGAGCTGATTCCACATTGCCACCAGCTTCTACACTGTTCCCTAAGAAATTCAGCCACCACCCCCACTCCCACCCCCACAGTGAGCCCTCATCGTGCCCCACAGAAGCTTAGCAGCTGAGCCATTGCTGGGAGAATCCCAGGCTGGGCACCCACCCCACATTCCACTTTGTGTCTGCTTAGCAGCAGCCATAGCTAAATCACATCCAGGCTTGGGTTTCCCGTGCTCAGAAGACAGGAAAACTCTGGCTGCTCTGGACCCAGCACATAGGAGGTTGCCTTGAGGGAGACCTGAATGGCTTGAATTCCATGGAGCGGCCCAGGTTCAGCCTGACCTAATCCACCCCAGAACAGGAAGAGGTTTCCTAGGGATCCAGTCCTTGCACTCTGGGAATCCACGCTGACCACTGGTCCGGTTGCCGGAAACCCAGCAGAGGGGCAGTGTCCAACTCCTCATGAAGGAAATGAGAACAAGCCCGACCTGGGCCCTGAGATGGGTTGAGAGGCAGGAAGTTAGGATAAGAAGCAGAGGATCCCTGTGCAGCCAGACTTCCGGGGTGATCTGGTAAGGGCACTGGAATGGCAGCTGTAGGGGGCGGTGCCTGCAGGATAGGGGCCATGAAAGCAAAGGAGACAAGAGGCAAAAGCACTCTGGGGCAGTGTTGATGGGTTGACATAGAGATCCAGACGCAGGCTATGCCAGGTGGAGACATCTTTGGTCCCTCTGCATAGACCAGAAATCTGAGGCTCAGGAAGACCCACCAGACACCGGCTCCCATCCCTGAAATCTCAGTGCTGACCCCCCATGCATGGCCCCTCGTGGTCCTTCTCAGGGGTGGCCCGCACCCAGGCAGTGCTTCTGAGATTGTTTCCCAAAGGATCAGCAGAAACAGCTAGAAAGGGGCGGCTCTGCCGTCATCCTGCACTTTGCCTGTCTTCAGCCCCTTGAGGTGCTAGGAAAGTGGTTCACCTTAGGTTCGGCACAGAACACGTTCCAGATCAGAAATCAAAGCCACTTTGTTAGGTCCAGCACCATCTAGAAGGTCCCAGATGCCCACAGCTACACTGCCACCTCCTCCTTGTTCAGCTGAAGCTGCCGCTTCCCGGGAGTCTGAGCAGACTGATGTCACAGCCACGGAGGGGCCAAATCTGAGGGACGCTGTTACTCATCCCACAGCCCTGCACCAAATCAGTACTCATCCCTCTTTCCATTGCTCTGCTCCTCCTCTCTTCCTCCCTCCCCTTCATCCACGTTCACGATGGCCCCAGCACAGACACACAGTCGGTAGACAAGACGGAGAGTAGGGCAGTGGTGGCGAGCCTGTGGCACGTGTGCTGCAGCTGCATCGCTGGAGTGATTCGTCCAAGAGCGGGGAGAAGGACTCTGCATGCATCCAGGGACTCCACCCAAGACTTCTACCTAGGGATTGCAGGGAAGTGACCTTAAAGGAGTCAGCCTCCAAAGGCTGAGGCAGGAGGATTGCAAGCTGGAAGCCACCCTGGGAAACATAGAGACTCTGTATCAAAGTAAAATAAAAACAGGGCTGGGAGTGTGGCTCAGTGCAGTGGCCCTCACTTCAATCCACACCACCACTGCCACCACCTTTGAAAACAAAGAAAGCAGGAGGGGCATGAGTCCCGTGAGGGCGTGGTGGACTCTGAGTCAGAGAGACTCACCTTAGGGACATCAAAGCAGCCAACCATCATCATGGAGACCCCGGTCAGGGCCGATGAGCAGCCGGGAGGGGAGCACTGCCAGGCCAGGGGCTCCTACAAGGGGAGGTGGGAGAACTCCAGAGGTGAGGCTGGCGGTCCTGGGGGAGAGACGACACAGGTGGGACACAGAAGGCCACAGATCAGGGAGCCCAAGCTCATCCTGGGCCCCTGGGTGGATTGGAATTGGAGTATTTGAGGATTGAGGCCAAAGGACGGCAGGTTTGGAACGGACTCAAGGCAGAGATCAGGTTTGACCCAAGGGCTGGGGCAGTGCTTGGCTTGGAGCAGACTGGAGCCTCAGAGGAAACTGCCAAGAAAAATAGCAAAGGGAAGCAGCAAGGTAAGAGCAGAAGTCGGGGCCTGGAGTCTGCGTGTGCAGCAGGCCGCCACGGGGAGGCAGCAGAGAACACAGTGAGCGCTGGAGGGAGGGTGGAGGGGCCCACATAGCGGACCAGTCTGAGGCTCAGAGGGGAAGGCCCCGGCCGTGGAGCGAGCTGGCGAAGTTCCCTGCCATTGTAGGGGATAGGCTATTAGGGGCTGAACCGTAAGGCACCCTCACAGCCCTGCTGCAGCCCTGGAGCCTCACTTCATCAAGCCCAGTGAGACCAAGTCCGTGTCCTCTCTCTCTCTCTCTCTGTCTGTCTGTCTCTCTGTCTCTCTCTCCCTCTCTCTCTCTCTTTCTCTGCAACAGAGACCAAGTCTGTGAACACCGGTCAGAACTTTTGTCCTAAGGGTGCAGCCTGGCCAGTATACCATGGTCAAATAAGACACACGAGTCCTGAGTGATGGGGCCATGGTGTCGGGACTCTGGGGCAGGGTCTGTGTGGAAGTGACAGAGGGCACCGGGTAATCTAAATAATGTAAGGACACTCTCGTGTTCCCAACCTGCTGGACATCTAAACCGCCAAGTTTGTGTTCTCTAAAGTCAAAGAAGTAATTCTAGGAACGACGGAAGAGAAGGAAGACTTTACTGAGAGAGAGGAGAAAGATAGCTTCTGTGTAAGAGAGACAGAAGGTGGATTGCCGGCCCACCCCACTTCACAAGGGTGCTTTGAGCAAAGCCAGGAGGTGAGGTGGGTTCAAAGTGGGACAAAACTATGATCAACCAAGAAGATGACGGGGCCGGGGATGTAGCTCAGTGGTTCCGCCACCTGCCTCACAAGCACAAGGACCCGAGTTTGATAAATAAGGGGACGAGGACAGTCACTTAGGTAATATTGAGTAAACGGGAATCAAGTGAGGAAACAAGTCCTGTATCAAGCATGCATGGAAGGAACAAGGATTTCCTGGAAAGGAAATGGGCCACAGAGGTTTGGGTTCCCCACTTAAAGGTGATTGAGGTCTATTTAGGGTATCAATCACCGTTATTCACCTCTAGGGGAAGTATGTGAGTGTGAGGTTGACCTTTAATAAATGAGCCTCAACTGTCCTCTGTGCTGACTGCGGTTCCCGACCCTGTCTAACTGCCTATAATATATCTGATGAGCTGTCTGGGATAGAAGGGCACAGGCCTCCCCGCCCTCCACACAGACGCTGTGTAGGGAGAACCTGCAACTGACCAGTCAGGGAGGAAGGGAACAGTCCCTCCCTCCAAGCCAGAGCAGAGGTGACGCCTTGCTCTCCACACCACAGGGTACCCTGGGGAGGAGAGCTTCACCGTGAGAGTGCCAGCCACCAGCTACAATCAGTGCACCGTAATGTTCTCAAGATGCTTGTAAAAAAAAAAACAAAAAACAAAAAACAAAAAAACATGGTGTACTTTGAGACCACCTTCTATAATGAGTCCTCACACTGTGCCTTCAGGGACCTGGCTCCTGGCCACACCTGGGGGAGAAGGTCCTCCAGCCCCTGGAACCACCAGCCTTCTCAAGTTCCAACCCCCTTGGGGAGGAGGTCTTTCCACAAACCCTCCATGACAAAGGAGCCTGACTCCTCCTTCATTCTTTCAACACTGTTTATCCTGAGAGCCGGGCGTAGGGGTCACTGCCTGTCCTCCCAGCAGCCTGGAGGCTGAAGCGAGAGGTCTGGAAATCTAGGGCCAGCCTGAACTACCCAGAAAGACGCTGCCTCAACAACGTCCAAAAAGCCTGCAGAGTACCTCTCTGTTGGCCACTAACAGCCATCTTGGCTCAGGAGCCTGAGAAGCCGAGCCCTGAAGCGTGGGAGCTCTGTGTCGACTTTGCCAAGAGCCTGGGGCTCACTGAGGATGACTTCGCCTTCGCTCACCCTACTGATAATCTGTCGCACTGTGCACTGTGGACCGGAGAGACTCGGTCCCCAGCTTCAGTCCCTGGAGGGGTAGTGGCTCTCACCCTGGGGTTTTTAGGTCCCTAGGGTCCCTGGCCCCAAATGCTCCCTCTGACAGTTGAGCCAAGACCTGCCCGGGTGACAATTTCAGGTCCAGGACAGAATTTTCCCCACTCTGACTCCCCTGGGACATCTCTCCTCATGCCTTGGGTATTGTCACCTTTGAGTCCCTTTCCTCCGTACCTCGGGTCTTGCTAAATGGTGCCATCTCCCTCTTCCTCTGGGGAAGTTGCTTATGCCTTGATAGGGGAGTTGTTCGTGATTTCAGTTTTCCTGATCCCGGAAGAAGACTCCAGCCTGGCCGCTTTAGGGAAGCGGCTCGTGCACCTGGTCTGGGGCAGGGTTGGGGTGTAGAGGAGGGGAGGGAGGGAATCAAGGGATCTGCATCAATTAGGGTTCAAGGGCAGAATAGATTTGCTACATAAAGGATTTAAAAAGTAGGCTTATCACGGCCACCTACAGAAATCCTCCTGCCTCAGCCTTCCAAGAGTTGGGATTATAAATTTGCACCACAAGTTGTGGGGCAGTTGTGGCTTCTGCGGACACAAGGAGGGGCCCCTGTCACACACATCCCCACAGTGGGCTCATGAGGTCAGAAGATGGCTTGTCTGGATCTGAGCTGCAGATCCACAGACAGGGCTAATCAGATGAAGGGAAGAGGCACAGTGCCCACACAGAGCGATCCCTTGTCCCTGCCGCACTGTGGAGCTCTGAAAATGTCCCTCCTCTTTCTTGTCACCTTCCCCGCTGTCTACCTTGCACAATCCTGACCAGGAGGCAAAACAGGGCAGATATCTCAACACATGTTTCCAAAAGAGTTTCTTACAATTGACTCACTCTTCTTGGATTAGCAAAGGCTGAATCAGCCCACCCTATGGGAACAGCAGCCAGGTAGTCCATAAATACTTCCCCTGGGTGGTGTCCTCAGCCCTCCTCTTCTTTCTCCAATGTCTGTAAGCCCAGCAATTGCTCTGTAGCCATGGCCCTGGGTCTCCTGTGGCTGAGCCTCACCCTGCTAGGGGCCCTGCAGACCCAAGCCTCTGGTACAGTCCATGTGGCCAGGCCCCTGCAGACAGGTCTGAGCAGAATCCGTCTGCAGCCAAACTTCAAGGAAGACCAGGTAAGGGCTCTGGAAGGGCAGCTATAGAGGGGACAGGGATAGCGGGAGACGAGAGGAAGAAAAGCAAGGGACCCAGGGCCAGTGTTGGGTGGACGGTGCAGGACTCAGAGAGACAGGACCACTGCACACCAGGAGGGGACATCTTCAGTCTCCCCACACAGACCAGAAAACCAAGGCTCACCAGCCACTCGCCCAGGGCATCCCATCCCTGACAGCTCAAGGCTGACTCCTCACCCAGGGTCCCTCCTGGCCCCGCAGGGACCCAGCTCCCACCAGCTGCTCAGGGCAGCTCCATCCCCGGGTCCCGCTCCACCCACACGGTCATCTTGGGAGAGGTGGCTGTGGGGCCATCCCTGGGCTCTGCCTGTCAGCGGCCCCTTGCAGTTCCAGGGGACGTGGTACGCCTTGGGCGTGGCAGAGAACACAATTCGGAACGGAAGCGAAAGCGAGTTCTCCATGTACAGCAACACCTTCGAGCTGAGTGACGACCACAGCTACAAAGTCACCACCAGAATGAAGAAGTGAGCGTCCACCTCCTGTGGGTCTGACAGGCAGACTGATGTCACAGCCAAGGAGTGACCAAAGCTGACGATACCGTCATTCCTCTCATAGAATCAAACTCCCTCACTTCTTCTTTCATTTCTTCTTCCCTTTTGTCTCTTTTCTTGTCTTTCTCCTTCCCTTCCTCCCTCTTCCTCCATCCCTTCTAGCAGTTTTCATGAGTGGCTCCAACACAGACACACACAGTCGGTAGAAACAAGACAGAGAGTAGGAGGTCCCGACGGGAAAGGAAGGACACTGGATCAAGCCTGAAACTCTACCAAGGCCTCCATCTAGGGCTTGGAGGGAATTGAGCTTGAAAAAGTCAACCTGCCTATGATCTCAGTAGGCCCAAGTCAACAGGATGAGGCAGGAGGATCCCAAGTTCAGATATTTTTTAATAGGGTCTCAGTATATAGTTCAGGGCGATCTCGAACTCACTTTGTAGCCCAGGCTGGCCTCAGATTTGCAGCAATCTTCCTGCCTCAGCTGCCCATGTGCAGGGATTAGACAAGTGTATGCCAGCATGCCTAGCTCAGTGAATCACAAATTTGAAGCCAGCGTGGGAAACTTAGTGAGACCCTATCTCAAAATAAAAAATAAAAACAGGGCTGGGACTGTAGCTCAGTGCAATGCACCCGCGTTCAATCCCCAGTACTACCACAGGAAAAAAAACAAATCTGAGGATCCCGGCACAGGCTACTGGTAGACTAAGTCAGAGTGAAAGCAGCCAGCCATCAGTGTGGGCACCTGAGCAGGGGCCGATGAGCAAGGGCCAGGATGTGGGCCCAGGTTGCACAAAATGCAAAGGTAATGCCTGACGGTGCCAGGGGAGAGAAGTAGACTTGGGATGAGGGGTCCAGGTTCACCCACCTGCAGTGTGTTCTGACTCTGCCCACTGAGTAGATTGAAGTTGGGGCATTTTAGGGGGCTTGGCTCTCAGTTGCAGGGTGGAGTGAACTCAGGGGAGAGGTCAGGTGCAGCCCAAGGGCTAGGGCAGAGCTTGGCTTGGAGCGGATTAGAAGTTCAGAAGAAATTTCCAGGAGAGACGGGAAAGGGGGGCAGCGAGATAGAGCAGGGCTCAGCGCCTGGGGTCCGTGTGGGACAGGCTGCCCCGGGGAGGCAGCGGAGGGGATGTTGAGTGACCCCACAGCAGACCAGGCAGAGGCTCAAGAGAAGGCTCAGGGCCATGGGTGTGGGCCAGGCGGGGGCCCAGACGTAGCTGTGCACAGGCTGTCATGGGCTAGGCCTGGACTGGGGCCTCAGAATCGTGCAGCAGCTGTGACCCCATTTGGTGCAGTGCAGGGGGACCAAGTCTGTGTCCTCTCCCCGCTCACACCTCTGCCACCTCTCGCTCCCACAGGGGCGTGGTCTGCGACCGCTGGATCAGGACCTTAGTCCCGAGTTACGTGCCAGGCCAGTTTGAACTGAGCGATTTAAAACGTGAGTCTGGAGGGAGGAGGGCCCTCCTCCAAGTGCGGAGTCCTCCCAGGAGGCATGGGCCTCCCACCCCTCCACAGATGCTGTCCTGCGGGGAGAAGCTCCTACTGATTGTTTGGAGAGGAAGAAGACAGTCTCTTTCTTCCCAGCCAGGCAGGAAGGACCCTCAATGTCCACACTGCAGGTTATCCTGGAGTACAGATCTACACCGTGAGAGTGGCCTCTACCAACTACAATCAGTACGCCATGCTGTTCCTCAAGATGCAGTTCAAAGACACCTTCTACTACGAGACCACCCTCTACGGTGGGTTCCCACACCTTCCCTTCTGGGACCCGGATCTTGGTCAGCCCTGGGGAGGAAGCCCCTGACCCCCAAGACCCCAAAGTCTTCTCCACTTCAAGCCCCCCTCCATAGGCAAGGGCTCTGAGGCCTCCTGCAGTCCTTCAACTGTGTCTGTGGATTAAGCTTCAGCTGGTAGAGCAACCCTGTCATCCTAGCACTCAGAGGCCAGGGCAGGGGGATTGGGAGTTTAAGGTCAGCCTGTACTACATAGTGAAATTCTGTCTCAAAACAACCAAACAAAAGATTACAGAGTCCCTTCCCTCGGTGACTAACTGCCATCTTGGCCACAGGGAGGACCAAAGAGCTGAATGCTGACCTGAAGGACCGCTTCATTGACTTTGCCACATTCATTGGCTTCCATGAGGAAAACATCATCTTCCATGTCCCCATCAGTAATGGCCGGCTGGGGAGAATGGGGGGATGTGGGGGTCTGTCTAGTCCTGACGCTGCCCCTGTCCAAGGAACAGGTGAGGCTCAGTCCCCAGGTCCTACCACAGGAGTAGTGGCTCCCACCCCGAGGTCAGTGCATCCCCGGCAAACTTAGCCCCAGTTGCTCCTCCTGTAATTCAACCAAGGCCTGCGTAGATGATAATTTCAGGTCTAGTCCAAGTTTCTCCAGTCTCATTGCCTTGAGTACCATCCTGTCATACCTTGGGTCTTGCTGCCCTGGGCCATCTCTCCCCCTTCACTGGAAACTTGCTGATTCCTATATGGGAGACGTCCTTACTTTCAAGTGGCCTGACCTGAATTCAAAGAGCCTCCATATCCTCTGCCACTGGGCCAGACAAGGACTGAGGAAGCCAGGGGCGGCCGGGTATCTCACACACACACACACACACACACACACACACACACACACACCTCTGATGTTCTTTCTCCCCCACAGTAAAGTGCACAGATGACTGAATGGAAAGTGAGTATGACTGGGCAGGGGCTGATGGGAGCCCAGGACAGGGTGGGCTGGGGGTCTCAGGCTGCCTTTGGTCTTCCCCTTTCCCCAGTGTGACCACAGTCATCTTTTCCCCTCTGTCTCCTCTCAGTGCCTCCTGTCTCTCCACCTCCTGTTCTTCCTGTCACTTCTGCCTAAGATGCCAGCTCGTTGTCCTATCGTCCACCTCCTCAGTGGGAGCTGGAAGACCCTTCTTACAGCACAGCGCTGCCCACCCATTGCCCCAAAACCCACCCTGCTGATGGAGCCCCCTTGTCTGCTAAATAAACACCTTTCCCCCTGGTCATTGAGTCCGTGCTTCTTATCCACTAGGGCATGGTATGGGAGAAGGGCAAAGTGTAGGCTCACAGCAGAAGCATCCCAGGGCCTGCTGTGCCCAGAACCCAGTCTGATATTAGGAGACTAGTGGTAGGAGCAGGGTTCAGGGAGGCCATAACCAGTGCATTCCAGGTGGGGACATCCTGAGTCCCTGCAGTAAAGAAAGGAGGCCCTCGAATCCAGTCTGATGTTAGGGTGCAAAGAAGAGGCTCAAGGTAAAGAAGACTCCAGGCTCCCTCCCATCTTCATCTGCAAGGCTGTCCCGAGTCGGGCCAGAGAAGAGCAGCGCCTTACTCACTTCTCTTTCCCTGGGCACTCCTATTCCCAGCCTTCACCCGCCCCTCCCTCAGAGCGGGCCCCAGTGGAATCACTGGTGCCACCACACCTCTTGCCTAGACCCAGCAACCCCACATCAGGTCCCACATCATCAGCAGTCCCACCATGACTGGGGAGCAGGAGAGCCCTGGAGGGAGTATAAGGGGCAGCCACTCCCAGCTCAGGGGAGCCTGTGAAAGCTGAGAAAGGGTGACCAAGAAGGGAGGGTTCCCAGAGGGTGGGCAGAGACCGAGACCTGTTTCAGGCAGAAGGTGAGCAATAGAGGATCCCAACCATCTACCAGCCCCTTGTGGGCCTCCTGCCCCTAGGTTAGGATCATGTCCATGCTGACCATATTCAGGGGCTGCCCCCACCATGATCGTGTAGAGACCACCAAGGGTACATTCTGAAGCCAAGGCAGATCCAGGGGTGGTGGTGAATATAGCGCTGGGAATCCAGTCTCCTGGAAAAAGACTCACATAGCTGAACCTGTGTCTAACCTAACAGGCCCCAGTCCTCCCCTTCAGCACAGTGGCCATCTCCCCAGATGTGCGTGGCACACGGAAATCCCTCTTGCCTCTTCTCCCTTGGAAGTGCAGCAGAGTGAGTACAGCTCTGAAGGAACCCCGGCTTCCCACCCTACAGACACACGCAATGCCACTCTCACTTTAGCTGGGGGACAGGAAGATTCCCACGCAGTGACAGACCCCACCTTGGCCCCCCAGGAAGCAGGACAGAACCAAGACCCAGGCTCACCAGTTGGTGTCAGCAGGGTGGGTCAGACTCCAGGAAGATAGCAGCTTGGTGCTGGCTGGGCTTCTAACTATGAGTGGAGACTGTGTGCGACTCAGGGTCTAGGGTAGGATGGGCGCTTGGACTCTGCTGGTCAAAGCCCCACTAGGTAGGTGGCTGTGTGGATTAACTAACGGTCTACTTGGACAGCCCAGCTGAACTGAATCGGCATGGTTCTGGGCATGGAAGACCCACCTGAGAACTGCTGCCAGTGGCATAAAAGGAGAACTAGGGGAGAAGACTGCATGCTGTTGATTTTCTCAGAGAAGCTTGCCACAGCCGATTTTCCTGTTACCAACTCAGCTGTTATCATGACAGGAGCTCGGGTCCTCACCTTCGCTGGGAATGGCTGTTGTTCTCCTCAGGGGAGCTCTGGTCTTTCTCTTGAGCAGATCTCTCAGCCTGGTGGCACAGACCCTTCATCCTGCCAGCACAGACTTTCTGGCTTCCACCACAGGCCTTTGGGCCTTCCCAGTGCACATCCTTGATCTGGACTGGCATGAGACCTTGCCGTGGGCTCTAGGTATCTGGCTGGACGCGTGGAGGACATTGCCGTGGACTCTAGGCCTTCAGCTCGACTTGTGCAGGACACTGCTGTGGGATCCAGGCCCTGAGCTGGATCCTTCGGGTCCCTAGCACGGGGATAGATGCCTTGCACTCTTCTGCATTAGACTTTTTGGGTGAATATTATAAAATAATCCTATAAATTATGTGTCCTGTATTAAATCTATTTCCTGGCACACCCTGACTACAGCAGTGGCTCAGGGACTAGGGAGGCACAGAGAGACAGGAAGCAGGTTATCCAAGGGAACATCGCCTGCCTCTGCCTTCCGAGTTCTGGAATTAGGAGAGTGCCTCACCGTGCCCAGAGCATTCTAACATTTCTGCAGGTACAAGGAGGGACCCTCATGATGCACCTCGGCCCCCACCCCAGACGCACAGGGAAGGGAATGACATCTTGTCCAGACCTGGGCTGCTGAACCACACAGGGACAGTCACACGAAGCGAAGAGGCATAGTGAGCAGAGGAAGGTCTTGTCCCTGCCACATTGTGGAGCTCTGGGAGTGTCCCTCTTGGCCCCATTTTCTTTCCTTCTCTGCGTAATCCTGACCGGGGGAAATGAGGCAGATATCTTACCCCCGAAAATCTGAAGGAGTTGCTAGCAGCTGACCTACTCCTGGATTTAGCAAAGGACAGATCAGCCCCCTCTAGGCAAGTGGCTGCCAGTCAGCCTGTAACCAGTTCCCCCACACTGGCCTCCTTTGCCCTCTTCCTGCAAGATCTGCCAGCCCAGCAGCGGCCCTGAAGCCATGGCCCTGGTTCTCCTTCGGCTGGACCTCACCCTATCTGGGGCCCTGCAGACTCCCCTCTGAACCTGATCCCGAGCCCATCTCTGAACAAGATTCCCCTGCAGCCAGATTTCCGGGATGACTGGGTAAGGGCTCTGGAATGGCAGCTGCGGGGAGGGCCCAGGGACACAGGATCAGTAGGAACAGAAGGCAGGAGAGGAAAGGAAATCCTGGGCAGTGTTTAGTGGTAGGAGCAGGATGTAGGGAGGCATAGCCAGTGGATACCAGGCGGGGACAGCTTCAGTCCCTGCAGTAAAGAAAAGCAGCCCTTAAAGGCCCAGCAGCTGTCTGCTCAGGGCCACTGCATACCCGACAACTCCCATGTAACTCTTCACCTAAAGATGTCGCTCGCCTCTTGAGGACTCACGTTGCCATCAGCTTCTCAGGACAGCCCCATCCCGTGCTGCCCAAAAGTACCAGCAGGGACAGCACGGAAGGGTGTCTCTGGGGCCATCCCTGGTCTCTGCCTGTCATCAGCCGCTTGCGGTTCCAGGGGAATTGGTACGGCACAGGCGTGGCAGGGAATGCAAGTGTGTCCTCCTGGGAGGCCTGAGAGGCAGAGCAGTATCAAAGCCAATGGGTGACCAAAGATGAAGGCTGCCGTCATTCATCTCACCGCTCCGCACAAAATCAGTCCTTCTCCCCGACACTCCTCTCTTGTTTTTTTCTCCTACCTTTTTCTCTCCTTCCTTTCCTCTGTTTCTTCCACCTTCCCTTTCATCCTATCCATGGGTGGCTCAGAACAGACCTACACAGTCCCTAGAACACAATACACAGAGCAGGGGTTTCCCGAGCAGGTGGAGAGACACGGGATCCAGCCTGGGACCACACCCAAGACCTCCACCCCTCGCTTTGAATAAAATGACCTTAAAAGGAGCTGACTTGCCCGAAATCCTAGCAGGCTCAACTACAAAAGCCGAGGAGGAAAATCACAAGTGTGAAGTCAGCCCGGACAACTTGGCCAGATGCTGTCTCAGAATGAAAAAGAAAGGGTTGGGGATGAAACTCATTGTGATGGACCTGGGTTTATTCTCATACCATGAACATCAACACCAGAAAAAAGAGGGGAGGAGGTATGGGGACATATCGGGGTGTGGTGGACTCTGAGTCAGAGAGCCTCTCCTGAGGAGGCCACAAAGCAGACAGGTATCGGCGTGGCCACCTGAGGAGCAGCAGGGAGATGAGCCCTCCCAGACCAATCTCTGGGGATCTCAGGACAAGATGGGGCCTGGCCCGGGGCTCCTGAAAGGGCCAGGACCATGGTGCAGCTGCAGTGGGAAGACTTGCAATGATGCCGCCGGCCAGTCCCAGGCTGGAGATACAGGGGTGGGGCAGGCGAGGACCAGGAGAGAGGAGCCCTGGCTCATCCACCTGGAGTGCCTGCTGGTTCTGGCCCCTGGGTGGACCGGAGTTGGAGCATTTGATGATTGAGGGGTTACAAAGAAGGCAGAATTTAGAGGCTTGGTTTTGGGTCACTGCTGGGATCAGGACTCAGAAAAGCATTCCGGTGTGGCCCAAGGCTAGGACATGGAACAGCCTGGAAGCTCAGCGGGAATTGCCAGGAGAGACGGGACAGGGGTCAGCGCCTGGGGTCCGTGTGGGACAGGCTGCCCCGGGGAGGCAGCGGAGGGGACAGTGAGCGCTGGAGGGAGGGTGGAGCGATCCCGCCGCAGAATAGACACTCAGAGGAGAAGGGAGCGGCCAACCTGAGTCCCTGCTGTAGTGGAAAACAGGTTGTCATGTTTAGAAAGCATTTTTTTTCGATTATAGTGTCTTCCTGTTCGCCACGATTGGCCATCTTGGCCACAGGGAGGACCAAGGAGCTGAGCCCTGAACTGCAGGAGCTTTTTATCAGCAGTGCCAAGTCCCGGGGCTTCACTGAGAACAATGTCATCCTCGCTGTCCCCACCGGTAATGACCATCTTGGGGGGTGGAGAATGTCAGGTCTTAGCAGGCCTGATCAAGTCCTGCCAAGGAAAGGGGACAAGAGACACTCAATCCCCTGCTCCACTCACTGGACAGGTACTGGTTCCGACCCTGGGTTCCCTGCAGCCCCAGGGACTCTGGCCACAGCTGCTCCTTCCAACAGCTTAGCCGACGCCTGCTCAGATGACAGTCTTGGGCACTGGTCTGAGTATCCCCAGTGTCACCACCCTGGGCCACCTCCTCTCCATGCCTAGGTCTCACGGTGCCTGGCTCCCTCTCCCTCCCCTTGGGACTTACCCCTTCTGACATGGCAGATGTCCTTACCTGCAAGTCACCCGGCCTAGGCAGAGGGCTCCAGTCAGGGTTTAGCAGGTAAATGGGCCACAGGCCTCACTCCCCGAACAGTTGTGGAGACCGGCTTCTCAAGGAGCTGTCCCAGCCCTGAATTCTGTGAAATCCCAGACCCTCTGCAGCTGGGCCTGGCTGGGACTAAGGAGAGACCGAGGGCACAGACACACACACACACACACACACACACACACACGCACGCACGCACGCACACATGCTCTGACGTTCTGTCTCCTCCGTACAGAAACGCATCGCATCAATGAAGGTGTGGATGGGATGCAAGTTTCCAGGGGCCTGAAGGCTCCTCCGGCCTGGCTTTATTCCTCCCCATCCTCCACCCAGAGTTCCAGCCATCTGAACTCCGCTCTCCCCTCTCAGGTGCCTCCCATCTCCATACCTCTTGTTTTTCCTGTTACTTCTGCCCTGTGTGCCCTCTGGCTTCCCCATTGGTCCCAGTGCCAGTGAGAGAGCTGGAGCACCCTTCCTACAGTGCAGCTGCCCAGACATCACCCCCAAAGCCACCCTGCTGATGGAACCCCCGTTGTGTGCTAAATAAACTCAAGACCGCAGGCCACCGAGTCTGTGTTCCTGTCCCCTGGGCCTTGAGGAGGGGAAGAGACAAAGGGAGGCCTCACACCAGCATCATCCCAGAGCCTGCTGTCTGCAGACCTCTGACCGATATGAGGGGAAGAGAGAAGGCACACAGCGAAGAGGACTCTGGGCTCCCACCGCCTCTTTGCCACAGGTAGTCTCGAGTCTTTCCTGGACAGAGCTATGCCAGGCTCACCCCCGCTGTCATGGGCACTCCTGGTTCCAGCCCTGGGTCCACCTCCGGGGCGGCCTAGGAGGAGGCCTCATCCAACAGAAGCACTTATCAGGCCACACCTGACGCCTACACTTGCCCACCTGCATCTGGTCCCACAGCAACAGCTCAATTGGTGCTGGAAAACAAAAGGGAACTGGAGAGTGTTAGGGGCCTCCCTTTTCCAGTGGGTACACAAGAGGGGGAGTGATGGCAGCTTGGCCACGTTATATATAATAAAGCTTCTTTCATGGTCAGCCACTAGAAGCATGCTGCCTGGCCCAAAGACGTCCGCTGCAGCACCCACAAGAGGAGGCCATCAAGTACATTCCAGTTTTGTTGTTGTTGTTGTTTTGAGACAGGGTCTCACTATGTAGTTGAGACTGACCTGGAACTCACTATGTAGTCCAGGCTGGTCTCGAACTCACAGGGATCCTCCTGCCTCAGCCTCCCAAGTGCTGGGATTACAGGCGTGCTCTACCATGCCCGGCTTAAGTCCATTCCATTTTCAGACCATCACATATAGGCCCAAAGGTGACAGGAGATTAGGGCATGGCAAGGTGGCTGGATAAGTGGGCATGGCCTGTCCATGCACAGAACAGTGTCCACGCCCTGCACCTGGGACCAATCAGAGAATGCTATCTTTCTTCAATTCTTCTGGCACAAGGTCAAGCAGGTTTTTAACAGGATGGCCTGGACCTGACATCAGAATGAGGGATACAAAAGGCGGTGGCCATTAACCCCATAGCCTTTTCCCTGGCCCCCTCTGTGCTCTGCAGATGATATTTCTTTTCCGTCCTTCAACTGGCCTGCACTCACTTTGCAGAGCATACTCCTTTTTCTATCTTGAGCACCTTTGTAAAACGTTGTCACCTCATTTCCTGTCCAGTCCTGTGTTCAAGATGAGGGACTGTAAAAACACAGAATCCAAAACTCCGGGGCGTTCTCACACCCTTGTTCTTTCACCACCCAGTTATGGAGATCCGCCCGACGGGAACTCTCCCTACTTCCCTTACCTCAGGCTTCAGTCTAGGCTGGTTTCCACAGGTGTAGCCTCTGAGAGCCCTAAGAGAAGCCCTGGAGACCAGGACAGCCCGGAACTGGGTAAGGGTGGTGGGTTTTCTTTGCTGGGGCTGGAGGAGATTGAGTGAGCTTTGCAAAGATCCAGGGGGACTGTGAACAGGGATTTCTGGAAGCCATATGTAGCCGTGGAAACTGCATGTGTGATTCTTCTCATGCAGAGCGGGGGTCCCAGGCTGCCCCGCCCCTCTTCCGGGCTCTCCTGGACTTGCTTGCTTTTTGAGGACTCCAGTGCCTGGGCTTCAAGACCAGCAGCCTTGGGATGGTCTCATCCAGGGATCCAGAGAGATGTCAGGCTGGGGAGGACAACAGTGGGCTGAGTGCCACAGTTATGTGGGTGGCCCCGTTTTAGGGGCAGGGTTTTCTAGCTGCTGCAGAGTCCCATCGGTGCGGCCAAGCTAAGCAGAGCTCAGATCCCGGGGACAACACCCCAGGGGCTGTGCCCTGGCCTTCGAAACACCGCCTGCCTTCCTGTTCCAAGCCTTCTGCCTGGCGTTCTGTCTGGGCACCCACCTTCTGCCTGGCACAGGCGTTGGGCACAATGGTCCTTGCATTGCATCCTGACATTTCCCCTGCAGTGCCCTAGCCCATGACGTAGGGACAGTGGGGTCCTGGGTATCCCGTGGGGGCAAGCGTGGAAGACAGGGACAGTGGCTTCAGGAAGCAGCTGCCCTGTGTGGACTGATGAGAGGACTTTGCTTTTCTATGTGTTTCCTCCTGAAACCAGGAGGTCGAGCAGGGATGGGGACTTGGAAAAGACCAAGAGCTCCCCTCATCCTGCCCAGGCTGAGATGGGGGACCCATGCCACCCTGGATCCATCTTGAGGATGTAGAGCTAGCGGATGAGAAGATGACAACTGGTCCCTGGAAACCTCAGCCTTGGAGAACAGTGGGCACCAACCCCGGGTTACAGACGGGGAAACTGAGGCACCTCCAGCCACGCACAGCTGTTTGGGATTTGCTCCAGCTGCTTCATTCAGCCACTAAGGAGATGAAAGCCACCGAAAGGGACCAAGCAGAGGTTGGGTTGGCTCCACAGGAGGAACTGACTGGTACCTCCCTGCCCAGCCACCTGGCCGTGCTGGTGTGGCCTTAGAAAGCAGTCTGTCACACTGCAGCACTAGTGACAGTGAAAGAACCATCACCAACCGCTCTCTTCTCGCTTCCTCCAACCTTAGTTTTTTGTACTTGTTTGTTTTTGTTCAGGATTTCTTTTTTTTTTTTTTTTTTGAGGCGGGACTATGTAGCGCAGCCCGGCCTCGTGCTCCCAGCCATCCTCCTGACCCTGGGGTAAGTATTAAGATTCCGGCATGTTCTGCCATGCCAGGCTCCAATCTCAGCTTTCCTCTCTGCCATATCAGGACAAGCACAGGGGTCTTTCATGAGCATGAATGAGGAGAGCCTGAGGCGCTAACGAGGAGACCCCCATTCCTCACTCACCTGGTGATTGTTGGATCCTGTGGTAATTGCTGAAGCTGTGGCCGGCACTGGGCCACAATCCCACTCGATGGCCTGGGCTGCATTCTCGCTCATTCCTCCCCGCTCCTGCCTTCCTTCCTTTCTTACCTTCCTTCTATTTTTCTGTGTGTGTGTTTTATTTTGCACTGGAGATGGAACCAAGAGCCTTTGCACTGAACTATAGCCTCGGACATTTTTTTTTTTTTCCTTTTGAGACAGAGTTTCCCTAGCTAGACTAGGCTAGGTTTGGGCCGGGGATTTAGCTCAGTGGTTCTGGCACCTGCCTCACAAGCACAAGGACCTAAGTTCCATCCCCGGTACTCAAAAAAAAAAAAACTAGGCTAGGCTAATTCTTGTAATCCGCCTTCCTCAACCTCCCAGAGTGCCAGGATGATACAAGTTTGCCACCTTGCCTGTCTGAGGAGATATTTTTCAAAGTCATAGAGTTTTGGAGCCCCTGTGACTAGCAGAGGGAGAGGGGACCTGGGAGGGTGGCAGGCCCTGGTGACCACAGCTTTGCTCAGCTTCCCGTCCTGTCTGCTCATCAGCCAGCCCAGTGCAGGGCATGCAGTGCAGGGCTGGCAGTGTGCGGAGCTGAGGACGAAGCCTACCCACGACCTCAGACCCACTCTAAGGGCCCCGTCTGTAGGACTGTCGCCCCGGATCCCAGGCTGGAGCTCAAGCAGCAGGTGGGTAGAGACAAGAGGGCCCTTTTAATCCCATACAAAGCCAGAAAAGCTGCAGTCCAGCCACAGTACAGGCATCAAGAGCAGGCTCTGACCGCAGAGTTGAGCCATCTAGGGGGAACACTGCACAGGACCTGGGGTCCAACTGTGCCTCACCATGATTCAGGCCCGGCCAGAATAAAGCAGTGTGTTTGTGGAAACCTGGATCCCCATTGCTGAAACTGCCCTTACAAAGGGAAAGAGGCAGGAGGGATTCCTTTGTGTTGCGCACACCCGGCAAGATGGCTGCTGTGGCTGAGGTGGAGACAGGGGTCTCTCAAGCTACACACAGGCCCCGCCGTGTGAGTCTCCTCTCGGGAGGCTGGGTTGCTGGCAGCAGATTCCCCCACCTAACCCAACGCTGCTCTGGCTTCAGAATGCACCCTCGGGTGGTCTGCATGTCATCATGTTCAAGGCATCGTCTGATAAGGTCGGCCTGGACCCGGTCCCAGCTCAAGGGAGGACAGGAGGTTGGGCACCAAGCCCATAGGTTGCCAGCATCGGGGCTGTGACCACCTCCGCTCACATTCTGTCTGGAATATGCCTCTGCCTCTGCCCCACCACTGTGCGCC